ATATGAAGTTATGCTCAACTATTTCAAAGAGTCATTATGTTAGTTACTGCTAATTACGATTGTCTTCTGGTGAGATACTGTGTTGCTTACATTGTTCTGTTCTGATCTGCTTTGTTATGTCCTGTTTTATTTTAATCTCTTTAAAATTAAAAAGAATGACAATCATTTACTGCAATAAGATTAAGAAAATTTAAACATTTCTGTATTTGTCAGTCCGCCCTTGTAAAATGCTGCAAAGAAGGATGGGCATATGAAGCTGGTGTTAGGGAAGTTTAGGTGGAGAGGGAACACGTAATGTCCTAGACAGGAAACCTCTCCCGAGTGCCATCCAAAGGCCTGGCATGGAGAGCCTGCTGCAGTGAGTGGGTGGCCAGGGCTTCTATGAGAAGTCCAGTAGAGAAGATTGGTGTTTTGTTTATGAGAAAAGTGATCACTTGAAAAAAAGAAGGTAGAATTGAGAAAGGATCTTAGGGCTGATTATAGAAAACCCTTCCTGGTACTCATCGTAGTCCAGGAGGTATCTCATGGGAAAATTACTGAAATTTCAATAAGTTGGTTCCAATCTATCACTTCCAGTGCAAACTATGGCAAGAAATAAAGATGCTAAGACATATTTATAGTTATGGGGAGCCTAACATCCTGAGTTCAGTCATGATGCTAGCTATCCAGGACAAAAGGCCTCAACTCAGGGCCAAACCCAAATTTTATTAACTTATGACGAAGGGACAGGCTCAAGGATGAGTTGCTGGGAGCCACTGAGCTAGTGATAGTTCACATGTGCGGAGTGAAAGCATGAGTGCCTGAACAGGAGCACCCCAAGGGCACGGAGCACCTGAGCAACACCCTGAGGGCGTGGAGTGCTGGAGTGAACAGGTATTCCAGCCCCGAGAACACAGGGTGTAAGAAGTGAATAGCTATTTTGAAGAAAACAAGTCATTATAATAGCCAGTGCTGATTTAGTATCATCTTACTGTGAAGTCCTACCATGCTTTTGTTCTTCTGTTTCCATTGGTTCTTTCATGTTGTATCTTATTGGATTGTAGTATGTGTGATAGTATAAACAAATTTTAAGTTAAGCACAGGAGCACGGAGTGACCCATCGTGCTGGTTGAGCAGTCGCTCTTACCTACGAAGGGCTCCACCTGACCCCAGCTTTCTTCTGTCTCTATTTTTATTTGCTTCGTCTTCTCATTGTCCCCACTCTGGGAATTTAGAGAGCTCTTGCCGACACTGACAGTGGGTGACTGTAGAATGGTGGGAGATGCACAAGTGCTGTGAGCTGGGCTAGACAGGAAGCCTAAGAGCACCTCTGCAATGCACAGAGAGAAGGACACACAGAAAGACCAATCTGCATGAACAACTGAGATAGCATTTACTGTTCTGGTGTCTGTGCTTCAGCTCTGATGTGTAATCTTTCATGCCTAGGAAGTCATAGCCTCTTATTTTGAGGCTTGATCCCAGCCGATATGGTGGAACATGGCTCATGCATGTTTTTGGAGCCACAAGGTTGGGGAAACACTATCGCTTTGCTTCAAAGACTGTATATCAGCCCCTTGGCTGGACTAATTTGCATTGCTTAAAGCCAATTGGAATAAGGAAAAGTCCTAGTCAGTTTTGTACGATACAGGAACACAGGGCCAGGTTTAGCCAAGATGGAGAAAATCATTCTTTCAAGGAGAGTGTCCAGGTGGTCCTCCACAGCTGATGACCAGTGACCATTCATTTGGACATAGAATCTGAGGCAAAGGAATATAACTCATGACTCTCAACTTTCTGATCTCAGCATTTAAGTAGATGGATGCAATGTCCATTTGGATAGGGGAAGAGTGAGAAAGAAGAGGTCTTCAGAGATGATGACTCAGCTTTGGACGTGCGAACTCAGAGTACTTACAGAACATCACTTGGAAACACCCAGAAGCCACGGAGCCACACTTGCAGCGTTCAAAAGAGAGGGTGGTTGCAACTCAGCTACATATGGTTAGCAGGTGAAGACATAATGAAAATCCACCCAGAGGGATTGGATAGGACCAGATGGATGAATGGGAGGTACTGGGCCAGCCACTGTTTAAAGAGGTGCGAGGCCACTACTAAGAAGGAGGCCAGCAGATGGACTGAAAAGTGGTTGGGGAGACAGGAAGAAATCAAGAGCGGCCATGGAAACCAGAGGATAAGAAGATACAATCCCAGAACGCAGGAGTGGCAATCCCCTGCACCAGTCAGAGCAGGAGCAAAGTGTAGCTCGCGTTCCCAGGAAGGTACAGCCTGAGCCAGAGTTGAAAGACCGAAGGTGTCTTTCTGGATTCCTCGCTTTTGCATGATTCTCCCTAGGCCTGAATTCTCTTTCCATAAAACGGGTAACTAAATAATTAATTTATTATGCATATTGATGCAATTATATGTACTACATAAAATTAACAGGATTGTTTTCTTAGATGCATGAAGTTCTGCCCGGAGGATTCTTTGATGTCATACAGGAAACAGGGCCTTTTCATTTTCTTTCTCCCATTTTCCCATCATCTCTAAAATTAAGAGCCTTCAACTTTCATTAACTGCACTGTGGACTGAAAAAGAAAACAACGTCTTAAATTTCTTGACCTCTAGATATAGGCTCTGCGGAACAAGTTTCAAATAACTGGGATCCTGCAGCACCCACATCAAATGCAGACACATTGTTCTGCTCACGTGAAAGTAGAAACCACACTTTGATAAATACAGTGCTAGCGTCCAAGTTTTAAAACGTGTGAAATGGACACTCTTTTTTGGATGTTTTTGTCTTGTAGTCCTGCAGCATCTAGAATTGCCATGTATTCAAACTGCTTTTCTTGTTACTAATAAAATATTTAGTGTTTTTGTTTTCTGAGCCTGTTTAATAATTTAGCAGGTCAACCTAAGGAAATCTGCACATTGTCCTGAGGCATGGAGCGTAAAATATCTGACCACATTGTGAGGAAGATTTTGAGCAGTGCTCAGGACTAGAGGGGACACAGGGACATTAGCTTCCCCTTGCCCATTTCCCGCCAGGTTTAATGTGAGGTATGTGAGTGTTTACAAGGCACTTGCTATTGTAGCACTTGGTCATTTATTTGCCGGTGGCTGCATGCGTCATTGCCATTAGTGAGAGGTACACTTAGTTTCCAAGTGCGCTGTATTATTTATAAGGATGCTTCACCTACATTTATGATTGATAAGATACTTCTCTTAGAGCTCTCTCTCTTTGAAGAGATGTGGATTAAAAACTGGTGGTCAACCTAACACCAGCTGAATTAAATCAGCATGGTGCTAAGGGCAGATGGCCACCTGAGGAATTGCCAGCATAAAAGGACATGTGCAGAGGAAGAGTGAAGCATTATGGGTTCTCTTAAGTGTTGTTGTCTGGAGTCATTGGTTCACCTGGAGGAGCTTGTCATGCTGGCTTCCCTGATAGGAATTTGGCCATTATTGTCAGAGGAGCTTGGGACCTTGTTGAGAGTGGCTATGATTCACTTTGGGGGAGCTTTGGTCCTTACATTGAGCATTACTTTCTGGCTCCAGAGGGGAAGATGTGTGCTGTTTAATCTCCAGGAGAAGCTTGTCACACTGGCTTCCTGACACGCACTTGACTGTTCTCATCATCGGAGAAGCTCAGGACTTTATTGTCACTGAGGATGGCTGTGGTCCATTTCAGGGGAACCCTGGTCCTTATTTTGAGTGTCACTTCTTGACTCCAGTGTAGAACCCTCAGCCTACTAGCACAGACCCTTCACCCCAGGGGCATAGACTTTACAGCTTTTACTGCTAACCTTTGGGCTTTCCCAGTGCAGATTCATAAAACAGACTAGCATGAGTCATTGTCATGGGCTCTAGACCTCCAGCTGGACTCTTGAGAAGCATTGTTATGGGCTCTAGGTTTTCAGCTGGACTCATGAAGGGCATTTCTGTGGGAGTCAGGCCCTTGGCTGGATTCTCCAGATCTTTAGTGTTGTAGACAGATTCCCTGAACTTTCTTGTATTTAACTCTGGGTGACTACCATAAATAATATTATAAACTCTGTGTCCTGTATGTAACTGTTTTCCTTGCAACTTCCAACTGTAACAAGATGGCACTCATTCTTTATGTTTGGAATAATTTAGGGTCACAATAATCATTATGAAAGGGTGCCCAGGTTAGGAAACCAAATTCTCCTGCTCTAGAGATTTATGGGTAGAAACAGTCACATCTTTTGGAGTTTTAAGTGTTTGACAACCTGTTTAACACCAGGGAAGTAATGTGCGTATGTGCTTTTTTGACTAAAAACTGCTCCACAACTGTTACAGCAGAGGCAGGGCAGCAAGAGTTGGGTTTTCACCACTTTTCAGTGTTTTGAAGAGTATCTGTCGTATAGTAGATAGCAAATGTTTGTCGAATGAATGCATGACTGAATGAACTATCTTTCTATAGATGTTATGACTTGTGGTCCAGAAGGAGAACAGTGTGAAAACCAGGATCACAGAGGTGGGAATGATGAAAGGGAGCTAGTGGCAGAGGATAATTTGTCAGCCTTAGGGTGCTCTGTTGCTGTTGAGAAGTTAGGAACTGGCAATCCATGTGTTGATTAAGTACAGATAAAATAAAATACTCTGTGTACACATCGTCCCAGTAGTGATTTCCCTGTGGCAGTGGGTAAGATGCGCTTGCCTCATAGCAGCTGCCCTGTTTCAAGTTCAGACTGCAACAAAATTTTCATTTAAATCTAGCTTGTCAATGCCCACCATCTTACGACCATTACATTTTATTCTCTTCCTATATCTCTAGTTTAAGGCTTTCAGATTTCATATCCGTGTGTTTTCTGTCTTATACTTGCAAAATATTGATGTAATATATTACATTAAACTTTATTTAATTAAAATAATCTGCTTTCTGTAATGGAGAAAGGCCATGACCCTGGACATTAGAAATGGAAGGAAGGGACTTTCCTTGCCTGAATGTCAAGGCTAACTTTGCCTGAAGGTTTTGAAATGAGACTGCAAAGGGGATCAGAAAACAATGTTACTCTGATTGAACTTTAATTAGAAAGTTGCACTAACATATTTGAAATATTAAAGGGGAAAATATAATTTTACAGTTTTAAGTAGATAGGAGACGAGTGTTAGCATATCCGCCTTTGTGATGGATCACTGCTTTTTTCTGTATTTCCATGGGGTGCATGCAGCACCCTGCAGGTACATAACAAGGGACTGGAAAGGACCTTTTGGTGACCTGGCTGAAGCATTCGTATAGCGTGACTCACCGTAAGAGACAACCTGGGTGGCTCCCCTTGAAGGCAGAATAATTAGTTCAGCATTAAACCAAAACTTGTTTCCACATACTGATATGCACAGAGCTGGCTATGCTATTTCCCCCTTTAATTGGCTCTCTATAATGTAAAATAAAGCTCACTAAGGTACTGATATGTAATCCTGAAACCAGCTGACAGTGTTTTGTTTCCTCACATTGTGCTCCCTATATATGGTTTTGCACAAAGGGCTAACAGAGCCACATAGCTCCAGGAATGTCAGCTGGGTTTGAGCCTCAAGATAAGAGGCTGTGACTTCCCAGGGTACAAAAGTTTACTTATCAAAAACTAAGGCCACAACCTCCTGAATCATTCAAATGTGACCTCAGTTGAGGTTTATAGGTTAGTTTTTCTGCATAGCCTTCTTCTTGCATATTGTAGAAGTTCTGTCTCTTCATCTGGTCAGCTCAGCTCAAATTACTCATGTAATTCCTATCATACTCACCGTCACTCATCTGGGAGCCACTCCCTTCCTCACGAGTTAGTAAATGCTGCATGATGCTTGGATTAAGGCCTTTCTTGTATGATCTTCACCTGGACCAACTGGGCCCCTTGGCTTCCATAACTTTGGATATATCTGAGTGTCTTTATTCTTGCCATGGGTGCTCTGGAGGTAGTAGATTGGAATTAACTCACCAAGATTTCAATGTTTTAATGGGATTACAAATATAGAATTTCTCAAGCCAATGGGGGGGGGGCAGAAAAAAGGATTACAATGTACAATATTTGGATTACAATATTTGGCAATCAACGTGGCTGGAACACACGACCTTCATGGCAAGGAATTTCCAGGAATTTCCAATGACAAAATGAGCTAACTGAAGGCTTAAGCTAATACAATTCAGCTGTGACAGGGACACATATCTCAGGGAAATATACAGGTCTAAGCACTTAGTGTACATTGCATAGAAGAGTTATTGTTTTGGAACTGGACCAAAAGGAAGGTGCTCCACACCGAGCAGTGGGAAGGCCACGCTTTATTACACTGATGGGCTGGTGAGAAACCTGCTCCATATCACTAGCCCCAAGTCAGCTTTGGGGTTTGATTATACAGATTTGCAAACAGGAAGTACATAAGCTGATAGCAAGTTAGTTCATAATTGGTTACATAAGCTGGGCATATGTTGTCAGGCCAATTTGTTCTGGGTAGGCTTAGGTAGAGGGGATTGTTTAGCATAAGGAGGAAGAGTCCAGGGGGGGAGTCGGGGGCCTGATGAGATGGGTGTAATCAAGTGCATTCTTGGCTGGGCTAGTCTATGTTGGTAGAAAGTCCTTGGAACAGGCTAGCAAAACTGCATATTTTGGTGGGGACACAGGCAGTGTGGTGGGATTTGATCAAGCCAACCTGGGACAGACTACTAAAAGCAACAGCTGGATGCAGTCATTCAAGGCTAATTGAATCTAGAAGTCTAACTTTAATGTGGTGTGGGCTGAATAAGCCTATCCTGTCTTAACGTGGAATTAGACTGCTAACTAATTTGTTACATTTCTAAAGTTTCCATGAAAATATAATGCTCAATAATGATCACCATAAGTAAATACAGAAATCCTTAAACCCCAGCATGTGGGTGTGCACACAAAGCCAGCCTATTCCTCTGTTGTACATTCAATCTTTGCTTACCCCCTTGTACCTGCTTCCTTGATTTTTACTACCTGTGAAAGCCCTTTCAACTAATTTAGAACCTGGGGTGTTAGCTATCTCCTACTGGCTTAGTTCATTCAAGTTGTTGTTTTTAAAAACACCATAAACTGAGTGGCATATCCCAAATAGAAACACAGTAATGGGGACTGAAGCCAGGACCTCTGCACTGAGCTACTTCCTCAGTCCTTTTTTTATTTTGAGACAGTGTCTTGCTAAATCCTATGAGCTGCCCAGGCTGATTTAGAACTTTCTCCCTCCTGCCTTGGCCTCCTAGAGTGCTGGGATTTAGGTGTGCACTATCATACTAGGCTAGAAATTTTTCACATTTGAGAAGCTGAGAGGTCCAAGATCAAGGTGTGATCACATTTGGGGTCATGTGAGTGCTCACTCTGTTCACAGGTAATGCCTTCTTGCTGATTTTCCTTGGTCTATGGGCAAGTGATCCCCTGGGGCTTCATCCCATTTATGGTAGGATCTTGTGACCTAATCACACACCAAAGTCTCCTGCCTGATTCCATCACCTTGGGAGTTAGAATTTTGACATAACTTGGGGTGGACACAACCAGAAAATATTCCCTAGTTTGTAAGGAGTTTTGGTTTTAGTTTCTCTAACACACAATTATTTTTGGCTGATTTTCATAAAGAGAAGAGATGAAAACTCAAAATCAAATTCAGAGCTGGATTTGAATCTTGACTCCATTACTTTTTGTACAACGTTGGGTAGATTATTTCAGCTTTTTTTTTTTTTTTTAAATTTCCTCTTCTTTTAATGGGACTCTGAAAGGGTTTTGAACAGAGCTTAATGAGATTGTAAAGGTGTAAGAGCAATGTCTGGCACCTTAGATGCTCGATAAAGAGGAGCTATACCCACTCCAGTCAGGATCACAAACTAACTAGCAAGCTCTATTTAACAGCTACACAGTCATTATGTAGGAAAAAAAAATCTTCCAGAATTATATAATTATGAATTGATCAGGGTTTCCAAAATATACATTCTACAGAATACTATTGAAGAAACAGTTGCTTGGTATTGTAAAGGAAAATTCAAAAACCCATAATCTGACACCGTATTAAGGACAGGGTAGGCAGGCCCAGCCTGACTCATAGAGTGTCAGACGGAGCTAACCTTGCCATCCTTCACACCAGCTGTAATGTGTAGGGTAAACATAACTGAGCCAGAAAGTACATCTTGTTGTGCTGACTTGCTTCGCCTGACCATCCTTCTGTATGATAAGAAACCCCCAACTAAACCTGCCAAAAATGAATTTGCCTAACAATGTATGATAAGACATCTATGACCAATGTTATACACTAACAAAAAGAGCTTCGTTATGTTTGTGTTGTGTTTGCCAATGCCCAAGTTATATGACCAAATTACCTGTGAATTCCCTTTGCAAACGCAACTATTTTCTACAACCTATAGCACCATCATACTGTTCTATATGTGTCATCTTTCTGGGTGACCTGATTGATATGTTAACCATTGCTACCCTCTGCAAAGGACAGATGTTATCTAAAATTAAGTGCTAAAATTAGCTGACAAAGGATTGTAAATTCCTGTGAGACCTCTCTGTCCTCTGCAAAGGGAAACAAAGGTCTTCCTCATTCCTCAGTGGATCAAGGATTTCCTGATCCATGCCCATAAGCCATTCACTTTGTAATTGCTCTTTCTACAGAAGTCTGTAAAAGTTTTAAGCAAGTTACACAGCTTTGCAAACCCCAACTGCACTGTGTCCCTGGTACCAGGTTAAAATAAACAGTGCTGCTTTTTCTTCAAAAAACATGTCTTGCCCCATTTTGGACACCATTTTGGGGGCTCGTTTTTGGGCTACAAGCACCAACTGTAACATGACCCAGTATCAGCCTTTTATACTTCACACTTAATATGTGTAAAAGTGTCTGTTTAACCTCAAGCAGAGGCTGGTGATTTGGAACTGAGTTTCCCCAGCCTGCTTGCATAAATAAATCTGTTTTCTTCCAAATGCGTTGATGCTGCATGTCTTCCATCAGGTTCAGTCCTGGTGTTTTCCACAACACTTACAACAAACAAAGGGAGCTTACAGACAAATAAACACCAGGTACTGTGCCCCACTCTTCCCTGTGCAGGATTCTGGGCACAGTTCTCCACAGTGACATCATCACGGGCCAGGCAAGGAGGGGTGCATAGTGCATCATTACAGGAACACAGAGACTGCAGCTACAGGACCAAGCCCACACCTGTCTTGAGTGAAGATAAAGGAACTGGCAACCTTCCTGGCACAGGGAGAAACTGCTGATGCCCAGAGTGTAGGAGCCTGGTCTGGGACTGCAAAGGATGGCTGTGCAGAAACTCTCCCATTGCTGTGGTTCTGGTAGCATTGTGCCCACTGCACACTGTGCCTTCACACCATTGCCTCCTTGCTCTGCAGCTCTGGGGAGGAGGAGTCCTTTTTTGCAGACGAGGGGAGATGTCTTTTTCAAAGAATGAGGCAAGAGTTTCCCTCCCTGATAATAAGGACCGAGATGGGGAGGGTTGCTGAAAGAGGACTGCTTCCTTTCCGCACAGATGTGATACTCGTAGCTGTGTTCACTGGGAAAAGGGCCAATGTGCCTGCATTCACACTGGTGGACAGCAGAGAGTCCTGCGAGAAGACTTCTGGTACTACTGACTCTGGAACATGGTGACCCCAGCTCTCTGCTCCTTCTTGCCCTTGCTTTCTGCACCAAGGTCAGGGAGCACTGCTGGCCACCTCCTGGAGCCCAAGGGTGTGCAGGTGGGAAACGCAGGGTCACAGATCGGTTCCCCGGAGGCTGATCTGAGAAAGCAACACACAGGCTTTTCAGCAGGGGGTCCTCTTGGGAGGGAAAGAAAATGGGACTGCACAAACAGGGCTTGAGTTCAGACCCAGACCTAATGAAGGGCTTTAACTAACCCCGAAGCGGGAATGGGATGGAAATGGTCCTAAAGATTGGCCTCACTTTGCAGTGAGAGACTCAGGCTATGTACAGGATGAGACAAGACAGTTTTATTGAAGGTTTGGGAGCTGTCTTCAAGCCACACTGGCAGCTGTAGGGAAACTAAGTCCTTTGTGCTGGGGGGAGCTGGGTAGCAGATGGCAGTACCTCCCGCAGGGTGCATCTCCAGACAGGTCACTCATCCAGGGAGGGATTTCTGTCAGGGAATGGCTTCCCTCCATGCAGATAAAGCCAGTTTTCCAAAAGGAGAATAAAATAAATGTGAGGAGTCTTTGGCTGGGCATGGTGGTGCACACCTATAATCCAGTCTTTGGGAGGCGGAGGCAAGACAGTTTCAAGTTCAAGGCCAGGCTGGTCGGTCTATATATATAGCAAGTCTCTGTCTCAAACATTTGAATAAGAAGTGGAAAATAAAATGTTTTGGGTAGAGCCTTTTGGAGAAGTCACATCATCATCAATATTTGTTTTTTCTTTTAGACATGGTCATCCTAGTTGGTATTTGATTGCCATTTTGATTGCATATTACTGATAAAAAACGATGCTGAGCATCTTTTCATGTTTGTTGGCTTTATTTCCTGAAAGATGGCTTTATTTGATTTGTAGTTTTTATTTCTAATAGTGCATGTTTTTAGTACCTAATGATTTCAGTCACTATGGGGAGTCAGTGCACATCTCAATTCTTTTACTTCTTCTCTTTTTCCCCTCCTTCCACCTCTCAATTCACTTTCCATTTGCAAAAAGATCTGTTGTGTTTGTTGATTACTATATATCTTCCTTAGTTGTTCCATTTTTGTAGTAATATCTGAACTTGGAAAAGTTTTAAATTCTGAAGTCAATTTGTCTATTTTTTCTTTTTTCATTTTTGTTTTCAGTGTCATGCCTAAGAAGCTATTGTCAACATCATGAAGCTTTATATCTGCTTTCTCCTGAAAGTTTTGTACATGTATTTATTTATTTGGTGCAGAGGATTGAAGCCAGGGCCTCACACATGCTAAGTAAACACTCTACCACTGGGTTGTAACTCTGAACCAAAGTTTTATAATTTTAGCTCTTTCATTTAGTCCTTTTTATAAGATTGAATTCTTTTTGTTGTTGTTATTGTTTGTTTGTGTTTTGAGACAGGGTCTTGCTATGTAGCTCATCCAGTCCTTGAACTCACTATATAGCCAAGGCTGACCTTTAGCTTGAGGTGATCTTGTCTCAGCCTCCCAAGTGCTAGAATAATTCCAGGCATGTGCCACCATGTCCAGCTACTATTTTTAATTGTTAAGTGGCATAAAGAGATTTATTAGGCAGAAATTTAAAAGTACACACTCAAGGTAAGAGTGCAGACCCTTAAGAGAGAGAAGTGCACTGCAGTTTGGAACTGGGAAGAGTTATGTGTTTTTGGCAGATCTGCAACCATGGGAGTCTCTCTTAGATAGTAAGTTTTCAGTACACTAGTCTTCCACTTGTTCTACTAAATATATTACTGAGTAGTTTCTCTTTCTTGGTGCTGTTGTATTTTTTATTTTATTTTTAAAAATTTCATTTTAAAGAGAATAAAACCAAGCAAAATGAAACAGAATAAAGCCAATCAAAACAGTGTAGGTGACACAGGATTTCAAAACAAGAGAATAGGAAATCAGCAGTGGTTACCAAAATGCCTCTTATTGTCTTCAAAAATAGCTGCCCATTACTTGAGACATAGTAAAATCAAACAGAACAGAACAGAACCAATAAAAAGTAAAACAATGAATGCAGTACAGGACTTCAAAACAAGATAATAGTAAATCCAAAATAGTAAAACCACAATATATCTTGTTATCATTGTAATAGTTGCCTATGCCATCAGATATAATAAAATCAAACAAAACAAAACAGAATAAAACCCGACCAAACAAAACAATGGGAATGACACAGGACTTCAAAACAGGATAATAGGGAAATAACCGTGGCTACCGCCTTCAGAAGGAGATGCCCCATAGATGCTACACTGAGTACTGTTATCTTGTTACTAGATGATTAGACTATCAGCTTCAGGCCTGCAAAGTCAGTGATACACTAAACACTACAAGCATTAAGTTGTATTTTACCTCATTAGCTGTCATCACAGCCTGTGTTTCTCCTGATCAGCCAGTTGCTTATAAGGGGAGCAGGGAAACGCTGGCTCTTCTTGTCTTCACCTTCCTGTGTGCCGAAAATGACTGGCATCTGGCTCTGCTCGGTCAGGCTGCACATGGCGCCCACTCACAGGAAGGGCTGATGTCTGCTCTCCTCTAGTCAGCCCCACACATGGCTTGGTGCTACCTAACTGGAACAGTTTTCTTAATTCCATCTGCAGGATGTTCATGCTAGTCCATCGAGGCACTGTTGACCTCTGCATATTGATCTTGTGGAACTTACTACTTTTATGTGTGTGTGTGTGTGTGTGTGTGTGTGTGTCTACTAGGATTTTCTGTATTCAAGAGATGATGTCTCTTTGAATAGAACAGTTTTTCTTTTCTTTTTTTGTTTTGTTTCTAACAAGGATGTCTTTTATTTCTTTTTATCATCAGATGCCATGATTAGACCCTTTGGTATTTTTTTCTCTCCCTCCAGGTCCTGCTTCCTCAGACAGAATTCTCCACACAGGCCCCGCTTTTCTCCCCACCTCAGCTGTTAGGTTTGCCCACCTGCAAAAGCATCAGGACAGAGCTGCCTGAAACATGGGCAGGGACTACTTGGTGGTGGTGGACTGGCTGCTCGGTAGCTCCATCTTTGTGATCTTTGTTTAATTTAGGCAAGTTTATGTGTTTCTAAAGTTTAACAATAAAATGATTAAAACCAACTAGGTATAGAGATGCACACCTGTAATTCCAGCCCTTAGCAGGCAGAAGCAGTGTCTGAGGATCCCCAGTGCAAGGCCAACCTGGGTGGCATTGTGAGTTGTAGGCCATTCTGTATTACTTTACAAGATGCTCTCAAAGAACAAACTTAAGAAAAAAATGTTAAAGTCTTCTCTGCCTTCAGACAAGAACTTCCTCCCTCCTCCCAGAGAGATCCTGTGCTTTGCTGCCCCTTCCAGATTCAGAATGGAAGCCCAGTCTTTTCCTTGACATTTGGGAAACACATTCAATATTTCACCAGAGCTATGGTTTTACCTGTAGATTCTTGATAGATAACTTTCAGTCATCCTGCTTCTGAGTGAAAGAAACACCAAATCCTGGATTAGCCAAGCTGAAAGGGCAGGGGACTTCACTGTCTCACCGGGGGGAGCACAGTAGGATGGCTCCAGTGGCTGTGTGAATGCGCTTCTTGGTGGTGACTGTTATACTAAGATGCTGAAAAATTAAAATAGTTGATTAAAAGATAATTAACAAAAATAGTTACTTTAAAAGATAGTTATTAGTAATATTGTCATTCTGTACTGAGCTCGTTACCCTAGTAACCAAGCACCAACCACATAGTTATAAATTAACTGACACAGTCGTTCTGCTGTTCTGTAGTGCGTCATCCCCCCTACCTTAGTGACCTGTGTGCAATGTCAACTTTTGTTCCCCTTGTAAGAGACAAATGATGCTGTGTCAACCATTGTTCCCTTTATGAGAGACAAATGTTCCTGGAATTGGCAGACCAAGGGCTATGAATTGGCTAACCACCCACTGTGAAATGCCTCTTACCTCAAGCAAAGGAGAACAAAGGCCCACCTTATTTCTGTTTCTCATCACTATGTACTTCATGATCAATGAGCTAATCATAAATGAACTATAAAAATCAGTCAAAACTCTAACTCAGTTGCACAGCTTTGCAAATTCCATCTGCACTGTGTCACTGGGCCAGCTAAAATAAAAGCGCTTCTTTTAAAAAGACATCTTGCCCCGTTTGTCATCTTGGGGTCTTGCCCCATTTTTCATCTCAGGGGCTCTGTGGAGATTACAACATTTGGGGGCTCTCCGGGATTACACAGGGACCCCTCCCCACACTTTTTTTCACCGATCGATCAGCTTGAACCGTCTGTAAGTATTTGGATCTTTTGTTCTTTGTAATTTGAGTGTGCACATTTGAAGTTACAGACGAGCCGGGCTGGTTCTTTCTGCACCGGAGTGGGATGCCCTCCAGGAACGGGCTTCTAGCCCATTTGTGACTTGGGGCTTTTTTGTTTTTTTTCCCTTTTGGTTTTGTGCTTGGTATATTTTTACTATGAAGCCATTTGTTTGTTTAAATTTAAATCTGTTACCTCAGTATTAACATTTAGGTTTCTTTTATTTCTCGTAAACTATTGTTGCAGGTTCTATGTGGCTTCTTGGGCTTGAAGCTTATAACAAAAATTGTTTCCCTATAGGTTGCCAGACAACTGTGGATCGAGAAGCCTTTGTGTGTGTGTTTTGCTTTTCTTGTCTTCTGTGGTGCCTTGTGTTGTGTTATTGTCATTGACCGGTTACTAATAATTATGGGCCAGGCATCATCATCAGAGCCCTTGACTCTCCTGACCCTGGTTCTTAATTATTTCAGAGATTTCAAGGTTCGAGCCCAAGGATATGGAAAACCAGTACATTCTGGGAAACTCTGTATTTTTTGTGAGCTTGAATGGCCTGCCAGAGTTCCTACCTGGCCCCCGGCAGGTAGTTTTAATTTCTCCATAGCTCAGGCTGTCCGACAATATGTCTTTGGACCCCCAACCCACCCAGACCAGATTGTGTACATTCAGGTTTGGATTGATCTCATTTGTGATCCACCTTCTTGGCTTAAAAGGTTTCTTAAGACATATGAGCTTCATTTTAAAAACCCCTCTCTCTTGGCACCTCTGAAAGTGAAACCAAAGCCTGAGTCTGAGCTATGGCCGATTCTCCCTGCTGAGGAAGATGAACTTCTGCCGCCGCCTTACCGGCCCTCAGCACCAATGCTGGTTCCTCCTAAACCAATACCCCCATCTCACCCCCCTGGCCCTATCCGAACCAGAAGTTATCAACGTTCGGAATCACCTGATTCCTCCACCTCAACTCCTGCCCTTCTTCCTCTGTGTGATATCCCTAACTCTGAGGATCCCTCTGCCCCAATATTTACCTATGTCCCATTTGCTACCTCTGACCTTTACAATTGGAAACAACAAAACCCCCTTTTTTTCTAAGGATCCTCAAGGCATTATTTCTCTTTTAGAATCAATCTTCTTCATTCACCGTCCCACTTGCGATGATTGTCAGCAAATTTTGCAGGTCTTGTTCACAGCGGAGGAGAGGGAACACATCTGTATGTTAGGACAAAAAGCAGTGCATGATCCCGACGGGAACTCATCCTCTGATCCTGAGCGCCTGAACCGCGATTTCCCTTTGTCCCGACCTAACTGGAATCCTAACACAACTGAGGGTAAGAAGGTTCTCGCTCGGTATCGCCAGTTATTCCTAGAAGCTCTTAAAGGCACTGCTAGGAAATCCACCAATTTGTCCAGGGTCTCAGAGGTAAGGCAATTGGCTAATGAGTCTCCCTCGGGGTTTCTGGAAAGATTACAGGAGGCCTATCGCATTTATACCCCTATAGATCCGGTGGCACCTGAAAATGCAAGGGCCATTAATATTGCCTTTGTGACTCAGTCGGCCCCAGACATTAAAAGAAAACTGCAAAGCCTTGAGGGATTTGAGGGAATGCCTTTTAGCCAGTTACTAGAAATAGCTCAGAAGGTGTTCAACAACCGTAAAGATCCCAGAGATCAAAAAGTGACAAAGGTACTAGAAGTACTGACTAAGAAAGTGACCAAAATGGATGCAAAGTCTCGCTTGCCTATAGATAAAAATCAATGTGCCTACTGTAAGGAAATGGGACACTGGCGAAAGGACTGCCCCCAAGCTGAAGGCCAAATTGGAAAGAAAAACCAAGGCTCTATTGTCCCGTGATTAGGGAAGTCAGGGCTCTCATGCCCCCCCTGAGCCCAGGCTAACTCTGTCTGTGGGGGGCCACCCAATTGATTTCTTAGTGGACTCCAGAGCTGCTCATCCAGTTTTGACTCGACCCATAGGAACCCCTACAGGAAATAAATTAAAGGTATTAGGAGCTACTGGCACCACAAGAGTATATCCAAAGTTTCAAGCTCAGCTAGCCCGACCAGGACAAAAGACTATCTCTCATGAATTCCTCTGGGTCCCAGAATGCCCAGATCCCTTGCTAGGCCAAGACCTCTTGCATAAACTAAAAGTTCATCTCAGTTTTGAAGCAGCTACCCCAACAGTGCAAATGGACAATGGCCCACCCCAATTCCTTGGTGCCAGGGTCCTTGCTTTATATCCTGAGGGTGAAGGACATTTATTATTGGAAAGTCCTAATGTTTTAAATGACAATAAAATATTGTGCCATTGGATGCAGGAAGTCCCCGGGGTTTGGGCAGAACACAATCCTCTGGGTCTGGCAGTAAACCAAGTCCCTTTAGTGATTGAGCTTTTACCTCAAGCTGCTCCTATTCAGCTCAGGCAATATCCTATCAGTCTGAAGGCACACCAAGGCATAGCCAGGCATATATTAAGGTTAAAAAACTATGGTATATTAAAATCCTGTGTCTCTCCTTGGAATACCCCCTTGCTGCCTGTTCAAAAGCCGGGAACCCAAGATTACCAGCCAGTGCAAGATCTCAGAGAAGTAAATAAAAGAGTTGCAACTCTCCATCCTATGGTACCTAACCCCTACACTTTTTTGAGTTTGTTAAGCCCAGAGCGGATCGGGTATTCAGTGCTAGATTTAAAAGATGCCTTCTTCACTTTGCTCATTGCTCTGGTAAGTCAACCTATCTTTGCCTTTGAATGGACTGACCCCACTACGGGAGTGCCAGAGCAATTGACTTGGACACGCTTGCCACAAGGTTTTAAAAATGCGCCGACTCTTTTTGACGAGGCTTTAGCCAGAGACTTTTTGTGTTTCAGAGAGGACTACCCAAACGTGACACTTTTGCAATATGTTGATGACATTCTAGTGGCAATAGAGTCTTAAGAAAGTTGTATTAGCGCCACTCAAGCCCTCTTAAAGACCCTAGATGAGTTGGACTATAAGGTCTCAACCAAAAAGGCTCAGTTATGCCAAAAACAGGTAACCTACCTAGGTTACCAAATTCATGAAGGAAAACTGACTCTTTCCTCCCAGCGGATACAAGCTATCCAACAGATCCCTGTCCCTGTGACTAAGAAGCAGGTATGAGAGTTTCTGGGAGCTGTAGGATATTGTCGACTTTGGATTATTAATTTTGCTAAAATAGCCCAGCCACTTTATGACTCATTGAGAGGGGCCACTCAAGACCCTCTAGAGTGGACAGACTCACAAGACCAGGCCTTTAAGCAACTGAAATCAGCCTTAACAGAAGCTCCAGCTCTGGCTCTGCCAAATTTACAGAAACCTTTTTCCCTCTATGTTGATGAAAAGCGAGGGATAGCAAAAGGAGTACTGACCCAAAGTTTAGGACCATGGCAAAGGCCTGTTGCTTATCTTTCCAAGAGACTTGATAATGTGGCAGCTGGATGGCTGCCTTGCCTGCGGGTGATCGCCTCAGTGGCCCTCTTAGTGAAAGAGGCCCAAAAGTTGACATTTGGACAAAAACTTCTGATTATTTCTTCTCATTCATTGGAAACACTTCTTAAGGCTCCACCAGATCGATGGCTGTCTAATTCCCGAGTTATGCACTGTCAGGCACTGCTCCTGGATCCAACTACTATCAGCTTCAAGGAAACAGCAGCCTTAAATCCTGCTACCCTGCTGCCTGATGATGATCCCTCCTTGCCTCTCCACAATTGTGTTGAGGTTATTGATCACCTCACAGGACTTCGACCAGATTTGACAGACGAGCCACTACCCAGAGTTCCATCCTACTTCTCCGATGGAAGCAGTTACATCTATCAAGGTAAGCAGGTTGCAGGAGCTGCCGTCACTACGGACTCTCAGATTCTATGGGAACAAACCTTAGAGCCAGGAACATCAGCTCAATAAGCTGAACTCATAGCTCTTACTGAGGCCCTCAAGTTGTCAGAAGGAAAAGACATAAACATTTATACTGACAGCAGATATGCATTTGCTACTGCCCATGTTCATGGGGCCATTTATCAGGAACGAGGTTTATTGACTTCAGGGGGCCAAAAGATCAAAAATGCTTCCCAAATTTTGGATTTGCTGGCTGCCATTTGGATGCTAAGGAAGGTGGCTATTATTCACTGCAAAGCCCATCAAGTGGGAGATGATCCTGTTACACGAGGGAACAATCTAGCAGACACCACTGCCCGAAAAGCGGCCACAAAATCAGTGGGGATTGAGACAGCCCCAACATTGCTGCTGATTCCACCTACTCTATCAGAGCCCTTTTACACTCAAAAAG